TTTTGTTCACTTTCTGCTTGACTTTCTTGTCTGTGGAGAATGGTGGAGAATGCCTTTCTACTTGCCGTTTTATCTCTGGTTCTTTTCTGAACGACGGTCAGGTTTCCTCGAGCTTACCCCCCCCCTTTCTCTAGGTCTGGCCACAACCCAATTTCCCAAGCAACTGGAAGGCCTCGCTGTTCAGTTAGGATCATTTTTGACACCCTACTGTTGGTCATGATATGATGCATTACCGCTTCGCTGATCGGCGTCGCCCCTTTGTTTGACACAGCTGCCGCCTCGATCCTTACGACCCGTGTTCTGTCACTATCACAATATATTTATTTCTGCTCGTCGTCAGCAGAAATGAGCAAGTGAGTTCAAGAGACCGAAACTCGTCGATTTATGGGACAGTAATGAGTTCCATGGGATGAGAGTTGCCCCCTTCATCAGTTCGCACCGCTTAAAGGACATCACATAATCCCTCACTTCTGATCTAGGGCCAGCTGGCTCTCTGCCGACGTGAGTCGTATGTCTAGGTGCACTCTGTGTGCGTCATTTCGTGGCATTCGACGATCAGCTTTCGTTTCAAAACGCGAAGCATCTCGAGTACAACAACTTCACTGACGTTCCGGTTTACTTAGAGTCTGTCTATCGAAGCGCCTCTGGAAATTTCCCGGTTTTTTGTCTCCCTGTGTTCTCTTTCCATCCAACAAGGAAACTGCAATCTTCCGAAACACCAGGCTACCTGGAGCCAGTGCGATAACGAGGCTATTAGCACCTGCATGCCTAATCTTCAGCCTCCGATCTTGGAAGTTAAACTGCCAGGTCGCTTTCGTTCCTTAGTACATGCTGGTTCACGAAGTCGCACTCTTCTAACCGGAGTACCCAAAGCTCGAACATTTTTGCGAAAATGCCTGGTAGCCCTGATCCACTTCAGGGGGTTGTTATCGGCTTTGACATAAAAGCTTCATGCATGCAGTTATGGCCTCCACTTATCCAGGGCCCAGACGATCGCTAAACATTCGTTCTCAGTGGTCGCCTACCTCTGCTGGGCACTGGTAAGGAGACGACTAATGTATCCATAACTGTACTCCTGTGCTTTGGAACTGCACTCATAGCGCAATGACCAACATCGATAGCAAAGCTAACCGTTTCTCCGACGCTGGGCACTTTGAGGGTCGGTTGATGATCCAACAACCACGCTTTCACATATTGGAAATCCTCATGTACTTTTCTGGTCTAATTAAATTCCTGACTTTGTTCAAGGATGTCATACAGCGGAGCAGCCATTGAGTTGGAATCCTTGAAAAACAGGTAGAGTATATTGATTGTCCAAAAAACTACCGTAGGTATCGTTTTGAATTAAGGAAGGCATGGTCGCGGATGTTTGTAAGTTTTTCTGGCAGTGTAATAACCTTTCCGTGACCCACTCTACGCCCCAGTAATGACACCGGATTCAGAGCAAGCTAGGTTCTGGCTCTAGTTATCCGCAGTCAAGCCTCCCGGACACGCGTCTTCGAGTGAACTGAGTGCTCTGGTTCCGAATTGCTTCATACAAGGATACCCTCTCTGGATACGGAAATAGTCTAGAGTCCCTCCGTTAGACGGAGCATCACGCGCCGTGATGTGAATAGTGACAACCCGACGGCTCCAGTCCACATTGATATTAGTTTTCCTGAACCGTGAGTGCTTTCACAGACAGATCGCAATTCGAACACTGAAGATGCTGGAGGGAATCCAAAATCTTCGCAACGGAAGTGTCAGCTACGGCCCGTTTTACGTCAGTCCAAAGTATGGACAGATACCAAACGTATCCTCATTGCCCGTGTACAGTTCGAGATATTCCCCGACTACGGACTGTGCTGACGATACGTTACAAGACGGAAACTCAAGGACATGCAGCTCTCACACTGAAGTGCTTGAGTAAACTTCAGGTTTGACTGCACCACAGTTTGTCACCACTCTTCCCTGCTTTTGGTTAACCGCGGAATTCGCGCACTTGGGAAAATCTGTCCTCAATATTATCTGGTCCATATCTGCGCTGATCAGGAACGCCAGCTGCACGGACTTGTTGCCCGGGAGCTTTGACAGCAATCACAATCCGTCAATTTTCAGGCGGTTTGCACCCATAGCTCACACGGCTAGCGCGCACGGTTTGCATTCAGATTCATGCCCTCCCCATCTCAGTGATACCCCTGTCCCTGTATCAGTCAAGCACAGCTCCCTCTTACCGTCTATCACCTTAAAGGCCTGTGTGTTGGCGTGTGTCACTGCCCGATGAAAAGGAGTAATCCAAAGTTTTACTATGCACAAGTGGTCGGGTACGAGGGCATTAACTCTTCCAATGGTCCGTTATGCCACAGTTTTATCTCGTTAGAGAGTGCCTCCACGATTCCATTTTGATAGCTGCAAGCTGTTTAGAGAGTCTTCCTCCCTTTCATTACGTCCTCCACTGTTGGATCCTCCTTCCAGAAGGTTCGAACATCCCATTCTCAAAGGACTGTGGCCACTGAATCTTTATCCTAGGTCACGACACCAAATGAAAAGTAGAGGGCCTTCGCTGCAGAGGTGTTTATTGGATAACATCAACTGAATATTTACAGACTATTGGATAGGATGGCATGAATCTCATATGCATCTTGGTCATAAAAACTGAATCTCCGTCCTACAGAACTTGCCCTCCTGAATTTTCCTGAATATGCATTGAATATCATCCAAATGTAAACGAGCGCCAACGAGCGATTACACTTTGCTGTAGACACATAGGGGAGTTACCAGAAAACATACTACTTGCACGCCTTATCAGTAGTATCCACCGTTATATCAGGCGATTTATGGCTTAATCAAATAATTCGGTAAAGGGCACCGGATAATGCATTGTACCTGCTGGAGTGGGTTAGCAAGCGTTTCAACCTGTGGGGAATCGGAATAGGCTAACTTTATATGTGAACTAATATTCCTAAAGAAGTATATCGTACGAAATTGATGGATTCTTCGAAGTACATTTTAAGCATGTTTGAGTGGGTATCGTAATTCGTGCGTTTGAGCATTATTTTTCCCGTGTGCTGCAAAGTTTCGTCCCATGCTTTTCTATGTTGTAGCAAAGAAAATACCCGTTGGTCGATCTGGCGTTTAGACATAAAGAATTTCGGTTTAAATGCATTGGGTTGAAATACGTTTCAATAATATGACAACACAGTTTATGATGAGAAAATATTCCGATGAACGTGGAGTGCATGACGTTTCGTGTGTTCCCACAACAATTGGTTCATTCGATGATGGAAACTAGATTCGTCAAAACAACTTCTTCGGAACACCTAATTGGTAAGCTGATTACATTCGTTTGAATTGTCTTTTACATCGGAGTGAACAGATTGCTACCATATGGCTCCTTCGACTCACTTTCACCTGGCTGGATTGACCGTTTCCAATGATAGCCGGTCAATCTGAATGGTGCCGTTGTTTTGGTTTATTTCTGATGGTCCGATTGAGCGATTAAGGGTGTGAGAATTCCATACGGGTCGCGGTGAGGTGAACTCAGGCCTCCTCTCTTACTCGCTCCTCTCGTTGCCTCGCATTCCAAGTGATTAATTATAGCCTGGTAAATCGCATGGCAGTAAGGTTTTCAGTATCAACGCTGATGTTGCTTTACCTATTGGTGTTACGCATTTATGCGCGTACGTAACCATGTTAACGCAGCACGATTGCACCACAACCGCCGTTGCTTCCTAAGCCGGATGGTTTATTGACGTTTGGAAATTTGTGCCATGAAATTCAGGCCCCATCTTCGGGTCATCTTCGGCATGCATTTAGCAGCAGTAAACATTCTGTAGAATAGCAGGCATGTAGTAGATTCTGTATCCGTGCGCCCGATCCAAACCCCTCATAACTGCCATCGGTCTCCGCAAACAAAATTTTAGACGGTGGGCTGATAGTATGGACACGACCTGGCGAACTCCTGAATTAGCCTGGCGTATGCGGCATGCCGTACTAAAGCTGCAGCTAGACGCTGTGTGGTGAGCATCAACCAAAACCCAAATGGAGCAAACGCCGATGTCTTGGTGCATTCAACTGAATGAGGGGTGGCTAGCAACGGAGGGTGAATGCATCCGTCACCGCTTTTACTCGCACTATACGACGCAAACTGACGAAACTTTGATTCGATAGGAAAACAAAACTTTCATTTGCACAGCATACTTGAAACAAACATGTGAGTTATTCTCGTAAGTTTATCTGGACGTTGATTGAAATTTTAAACAATGATGAACGAGCATTCGAAAGTGGTTCCATGTTTTCCGCACCAAAACTGCCTTACGTTTGGTGACGGTACTTTCTCACTTGACAAACCATCCGAAGTACACACCATAAAACACAGTAGGCTCACTACCTGCGTGTACTTCTTGTAAGTTTGGTGGGCCTTGGCATCTGGTCTCGGACTTGATCGGACGCATCTTGCCATTTATGTAAGTGATTGATCATTATCCGCATTCACTATCGACTGCCTTGAGTTTCATCCATGTTGCGTTGACGACTATCTATGACAAACTTATTTTGCCGCCAACTGACTGAATTCCACCGTTTCTTCTGACTCCTCCGCTATTCTAATTATCTGCTCTGCAATTTGATTAAAGTTGAAGAATCCCAGTGGATGTCCATTTGCATTGACCAGCCGTAAATTGTGTCGATTTGAGGCCAGGATATTGCCAGACAAACTGGCAAGTATAAGCAGATCTATGCAGTGCGCAAGAAAATCGGGCTCCTGGAATTCCTCGGAGAGACACAATACCACAAGTGGCTTTCGGACAATTTCGACTAAACTATCTCTCTGTGGAATATAGTTAGCTTATTGAGCAATTGAAGAGCGCACGAAAGCCAAACGTGCCTTAATTCGAAGGCTTGATCACCTGTTTGGCCTCTGTCCACCCGTGTTCGGAAACACGTTTACCGTAGTGAATGGCTTTCGTAGTCAAATGGTCGACGCAGACCAAAATACGGAGTATTTCTGTCATTTACTATACCTGTCGTGTCCTCACCAGCGCTGAGCGCAGGAATGGGGGCAATATTGGCTTTGAACACGTTAGTGAATTCCATTTAAATTCGTTTACCACTCTTGTTCAAAACATGCTCGCCGGTTTACTGTGAATGTGAGTGTAATAGCTGGATGAATTCTCCGCGAGCAGGTTTTATCTTTTCTCGATGAAAGCGCCACCCGCTTTCCTCAGTCCGAATTCACTTTTTCATTCCGTTGCAATCGTTTCTGAGAATTTGATCTTTGAAATCTGAAGACAGCTTAGATTTCGCCGCCTCATCTAGACCCTATGCTACTATAGTTGAACAGGACATATCGTGTGCTGTTCTCGGTACAGTTTATCTTACTTGTGGGGTGGCA